AGTATATTGTATACAACTTGTGTTTATTTGTGTGTGTGTGTGCGAAAATAATTGAAAAAAATGTGCGGGACTGGTAACATTTTAGCAGGGCTTGTAACTTTTGAAAGTTACCAGCCCTGATGTCTGGTATGTAATCTGGACAAATTTCCTACACTGATCAAATATTGGTGTATGCAGATGATAAAAACAGTGTGAGACATGCTTTGTTTGGTTGAATTCACTTCTCAGTAACTCAGTGACTACACATTTACAAAATTATTTCAACATCACGACATGTTTGTTAATATTTTAGTTCAATTGTTACTCAAAGCTACTGTCACTTTGTGTTGTGAAATAAGTGTTGTATGCCATACATATTGAAACCGTACTCACCTCAAAACTTTGGCTGTTACTAGTTTACCACAATAAAATGCTTCAGCAGATTTATTCACATAATATGAAGACAAATTTTTCAGTTGAATTCGACCTTTCAACTCTTTAGATAGGCTAAAAGTGAACATATTTTGTAGTGAGTACTCAGAAATCTTTTTAAACAACTCAATTTGTGTGTACATAATAACAGAGAGCTGATTTACTCGCAAATTTTTTCCCACTCAAAATAGTGAAAATATGTTCACATTTTCTGTAATTTTTACTGAATTTAATCTTAATTTTGGACCTAACAAACAAAATGTGGCATTATTTTTAGCTTTTGATCAGAAATTTAGAAGTGTTCATCAATGTGGAAAAGAGCAGACTATAAATGCAACTTCTTTGTGGATGTGGCCAATGTTTCTTTTTGCTGCTCAGAGAGTTAAAGACGACTGTCAGCAATTAGATCTACAGAAGCACAGCTGATAATAGTAGAAAACTTTAGATGTATTATAATGAAAGAAATTGCTAATTATGCAAACTTTGTGATGAATATGCATAAATTTCCATAAATGATGTTCATGTTTCATAGAAATATGTTATTGTTATGCAGCAATACCTTGAAATTTATGCAAATTAGGTAATTAATATACATAAATTTTCATCCATGTTTAATTGAAATTAGACAATTGATTTTTGTGATATCAACAGAACATACTACAGACTGATGTCAATTACAAAATTGTCGCCAAAGTGCATCTTTTAATTCAAATGCTTTAAATTTATATGTACCTGACAAATACGCCAACTTCAGAGTAGTCCTTTACATATCCTTTAACAATATCTCCAACACTCAAATCACAGAGATTTCTAATTTCTTTATCCGGCACAGAAACAATATTATGATTTATTCTTGATTGACGTAACGATAATGTGACATGCTTTTCATCTTTACAGTCCAGAATACAGCATCTGTGTTTACAAATCAAACATTTTGGTTGTTGTCAAATTTTGATCTTAATCGTGGAAAGAATTGTCATTTCTAACAAATTCTGATCAAAATTGATGAAAATACAGAAATGTGAATTTGTCAAATTATTAATAATCATTTGTTGTGAGAGTCAACAAAAAAAATCATTACGAGGCACATGACAACAACAAGATTTAGAACTGTATACGAGGACAGACAAAACAGAAATTCCTTT